CTGAACCAACGCCTCGACCACGAATTGACCGCAATCTCCCACAACGCTTTCTGCCATATTTTGCTCAAACGCTGCCGCATGAACAGAATCGAACTCGGGTGGAGGAGTACACATGTACGTCGAACTTCTTTCGCACCCTACATAGCCAACCGTGGTAATTGGAGGTGCGGGTGAAGGACAACACGTGTGAAAGGATCATCATCCTTACTCTTTGTTTATTTCGTTAAAGTCATGTAGGTAAAAAAATCAATTAAAATGAAAACAAATAAATTAAATCACGACGTTTCAGAGGCAACACAAGCTTCCGTCTTCAGGTAGAACCGTCACATCAAAACCCTTGTAACATACCTGGCCCAGTATCACTTGATACAGTCATTTTGCTGTGACGGTGCCACCTGAAGACGGAAGCTTGTGTTGCCTCCGAAACGTCGTGATTTAATTGATTTGTTTTAATTTTAATTCATTTATTTTACCTACGTGACTTGATCGAAAAAAACCAAAGAGTATGGATCCTTGCAGTCACGAAAACTTCTAATCTAGAAAAAAATCATCTAGAAAGAATCATCATCACCATCCACAGGCAGATAGCCCGTAGGTGTCTACTGAACGTTTCGTAATTTTTTTGAGAGGTTAGTGAGAGGTTAGCTCCGTGTTACTCTCATTCCCTTCATCCCACATTGTTTACTCACAATTGGCATCACCGAGGGTGAACTTATGCTGGTCATCCCTAAACGTTTAGACTCATAACCTCTTTAAAGCCTCTGATCGCGACATATGGTTGTTATTTTTTTATTTGACTGTAACCCACGTGATTTAGTGGTCTCATCAAAACCCTTGCAACATACCCGGCACAGTATCACTGAAACAAATGAATGAGGGGGAAAAAACCTACTGCACAATTTAAGGTTTCATTGTCAGTTGTGGACTGCTGTTTGCTCCAGAGCACGATTGAATTTGTCTACCAAGATTGTGCTGTTTAAAATAATCCAAAGCAATCCCTGTGGATTAACATTGATCAATAATTCATTCATTATCTTTGACACTCTATGAGCACTGTGTCACGCAGTCAAAAAATAAACAATTGCATTTGAAACGCACAATCACCTACGCATTTATTTGTCTATCTGTGCATCACTTTTTCATTCTGTACAAAGAAAACTGTTTTTTGCAAAATAAGCGATCCATCTTGCTCTGAAATGAATTAAAAACAGGAAAGGTGACGACAAAAACAGAGCAAAGGCTAAAAAATAAGGAAAATATCGTGGCGAGATACAAGTTGCAGTCAGAGACGCAGCGAGAGAAAAATAAACACGGGCATTGGAGGACACACGTGGGATTAGAGACACCTTATTGATGGTTAAGAAACGTCAGTGACCTTGGAGGGACAATGGATGGCAGCTGATGGACAAGACCGCTAAAGGATTGCTAGGCCAAAGGAACACACGCCCAAGAGGACCACTGCCACAGAGGTGGAGCGATAACGACTGCTCTTTTGCATGAGATGGATTGTGGCATTGCAGCGATGGTGTCATTATGGGAAGGCCTTTAACCAGCAGGGAAGAGACCGTACCTGATGATGATACAGACTGGAAGACGTTGTTTTACAACGCGGTAGATGTGTTCCTCAAGAGTGCCGTGTTAAGGTGGAAAAAAAACGCGTGAAGCGAAAACAATTTCCCCGTAAGTAACAATGTAACGATAAAGTTTGGGAACTCAGATAAGATGCAATGTAAGATGACAATGAACTGTGATGTACCGCTCAGCTAAGTAATTTTCCGCTCAGAAACCGCGTTACAACGGTGAGCGTCCCGCGTCATAACGGTGCGCGTTACGCGTTGTGCGAAAAGTGTTCCCGAATGTAAAAACCGCGTAATAGCGAAAACATGTTGTGTGGATGCGTGTTAAGTGAGGACCAACCCTATTTTTTAATATTGAAAAACAGGCAAGAATTTTTTTGTTAATGCCGATCGTACCAGCAGGGTGTTTAACCACTCAAACTCGGCACAGATAAGTTGGCATCTTACTCGCTGAACTATCTCTCTCGCAACACTTGCCGGTGGGTGTCTTGCACATCACGGTGGAATCCCTACACGGTCCACCGGCTCGATCACCAAATAACCAGCTTCCAGATATCCACCGCCTCTCGCGTTGGTTGCCACCTCCGGGGTACAATAGAAACCAGGACATGTCACGGGAAGAAGAACGCCTCACAACACCGGAAGAGAGGAGGAACTGCAAGCAAATGCATTGCCGTGGTGCATTATCACGCAGTTGACAATGTAAAAAAAGGCCGTTTCCTCAATAAGAGATCGATCCTGGAAAAACCTAGGACAGGCGACAAGCTTAGTCACCGTGCCTTGCTAGGCCTTAACACCAACACTGAAAGAGAACCCTTCCTTAAAGAACCGCAACATCTCTGCTTTTCCCATGATCGCTACCAATCCAGTTTTCCCAGGCTTATATATATATAAAATAATGTGTGTGGAGTTATCAGCAACTGAGACTGGTGTCATCAAACTCTGTGCACTTGTGAACTCTTTCAGATTGAAAAGACAACATTCATTTTTCGCTTGTCATCTTCGGGGATTGAACTCTGGCCTCCTCAAGGCTAACCGGCTCAGTGCCCCGACACGGTGCATTTAGCAACTTGAGCCTCGCTGAGTTTCACTTCTACCGAGTCACTTCCAAAACCATCGTGATGAGACGCCGCACGCCTGCCGACGAGTGGCTAACGATGGCCCACATCCTTGCAGCACGAATAAGACATTAATGCCGATGTGTGTGAGCAATCGGGGCAAGCAGCCGTGGCCTATGAAATGTGATGAACCGTGCAGAGTGCTGTGGGGTTTTTTCAAATTGAATATCGCAAGTCGGTAAATGAAAAAAAACGATTAACAAAAACCCAACCATAGATAACCTTTAGGCGAGACCATAACACCTGCATTTATTTAATCTGTCGTTTACATTGATCAGGTTCAAAGAATTACTCAAATAAAAATACAGATGTGACGCTAACGGTAGACGGAGGTTGTACGTCTTCTGCTCGCGTACATTAAAAGTGATTGTTGAATTTTCGGTGGTGGGAAGAAAAAAAAGCAACAGATACAAAAAAAATCCCCCTACATTTGGGAAGCAAAATAAATAGAACTCTTCCACATTCATGCTGTCAAATCTGTGATGCCCTGAAAGCTAATGCAATGCATGTTAAACAGACAGCGTTACCACCTGTGCAATCTGCAGTGGTGCGAGCACCTATCTAAATCATCTCTCTCTAATAAGGTGTGGCCGACTGCCTATCTATAATTGCACACCGGCCAGAGCAGAGTTTAGCATCTTTGAATATGCACGGTGTGTCCGATCCACAGTGACGCGTGGCCACCATTAAAAGGCCACTGTGTAAATGAGACGGTGCGCATTTCAAAGTGGCCAGAAATGTATCTAAAAACTCTTTCCAATATGCAAACGTGGCCAAAAAGAAAACGTATATTAATTTTTTTGGGTGTATGTGTGAGGGGCGTGGCCATGTACATATGGCGGCGCTGACTCTGAGGAGAGCGGCAGGCAACTCTTTAGGCAGAAGTGAAAATAAAAACAAAACTGTCCGTGGTCCCAAACAAAATGCACTTAAAGGAGTGAATAACCCGACAAAATCTGGCTTCAAGTGGCTGCTCATTTTCCATTATACTCGTTTACATGTACATGCGAATCTCTCACTTTAACGCAGCTGTTGTGCGAGTGTGCAGCGACGGGACTCCTTTCCATCTCTGACCCTTGGGTGACACCCACCTCAAACCTAGAAAAACCCTCTTGTTGCAGCAGCCCTTTCATGTTCAGCAGTTCTACTGCTGTATCTTTCCACCTGATGACGATTGCTTGTTTTGCGATCGAATTGTCGTGATTTTTTGTTTGTTTCTACCGACGTGACTTTACCGAAAGAACCAAAGAGTATGGCTGTTTTTATCGCAATGCATTGCCCCCGGTAAACCCTCTAATATGTATTTTTTCCCTCGGCTATGATAGATAAAAACACAAGGGTGAAATGAAAGATGGACACGGAGGTTTGGCTCCTGTTTCTGCTACAGGCTTTCAGCAAATGAGCCTGAGACTGTATGTAAACAATTACGAGTGAGGGCTCTATGGGTGAGAAACGGGGCGGGTAGCCATTTATATTCCAGCGCAGAGCAGCTTTCCACAGTTATAGATTTATCCACAATTACTGCAACACTTATTTCCATGTCTGAATTGCAAAAGACCTAGGACATCACAAAAGGGCCTCGAAATGCATGCAAACAAAGCGATCATTTCACATGCAAGAAATGTACTGTCACGGAACATTGGCCTGTGATTCATTCAAAGTGCAGGATACTGCCCCAAAGCATGTGCAATTCCTCAGTCAGCAATGACTGTAGTGATGGCACTGGAGGGAGCAACACGTGGCAGAGAGAATGAAAAATGTCGCGTACATCAACACCGTGAAGCACCAGCCCACCCGCACCGTGGTTCCACCGCCACACCGAGGATCACAACGCTTCCGTTTCCGCCACTTCCTTCGCACTGATCCACTGGGAAAAAAATCCATCCGATCGTCCCTCTTTGCTTCAAGCCCTCACGCTAACCTTGCTCGTTTCAAGCAACGCGTTCGCTCTCATCTTCTACAACTCTAACGGCGCTGTTTGTTGCTCGACGCTTGGATGTTTTATTAGGCCTTCAGGGGTCTGTGCTGAGCAACTGTGATTTTTAAAAAAATTGCTCTTAACAACCTCCAGCACCACCCACTGCACTCGCTGTATGCAAAAAAAAACACTTTCATCAGTCTGCATGGCACTTGCACGGTCCACCAAGACCACCTACCTACATTGCGACGTGAACAATTATGTGTATTGAACTTCTAATCGCACCGTACGTAGCCAACCGTGCTAATCGGAGGTGCCCAATAGTGTGGGGAGGGGGGGGGAATTACTGTCCGAGCAGTGGAGTGGTGGGTGAGAGAGGCACCGCACCTGGTTCGAGTATCTCATGCTGATGTTGCGCCGATCCTCAATGGCAACAAAGCGATGCACGGGGTCCAGCTCGTACGGGCTCAGCAGCCTCTCGACTGGGAACACGGGGGGGGGGGGAATGGGAACAGAACACGGCACACGTGAGACGCGGCGCGACCGACGTCCGACATGGGACAAGGCCGCGAAACGTCGCGCGGGACACAAGGACACGGGACACACACACACAACGAAAGATACGCGACGACGGGATACAGGACGCCAAGATGCATGGCGTGGGAGATGGGAGGCTATGCAGCAGGGAATAACGATGGACGGATCGATTCATTGATTGATATTGATTGTTATTCTCAGGACGCGTGTATTGAATCGGATGTGTAATAATCGAGGTGTGCGTTTCAAATGGTATCTGCTGCAGGCAAGGGGGTTCGCATCGCCCCTTGCTACCATTCAACGTGATGTAAAAATAAGAAATCGCGAGAGCCTGAATCGGACACAAATCATTCATCGCCAGGTAGGGTGAATCATTCCGCACGTTGGACAACAAAGGGCATAAGAACCAGGGACGATGCGCATTGTGTAGCACATGAAGGACACACAAGCAAGCATGTCTACTGTTTTACTTAACGTTTACAAAATTTCGCCACGAGAGGTAAATCCTTCTATGAATTAAAAGCCATAAGCTGGTGTTTGTGAAAGCTGTGATATGGAAATGGCCAGACCGTGTCGGTCAAAGAACCTATTTGACGACGGTTCAATTATTCACGTAATTAACACGAGATGGAATTACCTTTTCTATGGGAGAGGCTCAAGGGTGTGTTCACTATGTTCCGTGTCCAGTTAAAGGTTGTTCTTTTGTTAAATACCTATGGGGTGGTTAAATCAAACCTTTTTTCTCAATAGAAAAATGAGAACTGTTTATTACTTCCCTTCTACGTGACTTTACCGAAAGAACCAAGAAGATGAATCCCTGCAGTCACGAAAGCTTTAAATCGAAAAATGAGAACTGTTGTTTACTTTGTACGTTTTAATTGATAAATACTTACAGGTACAATATACAAAAAGTTAGCCATTCTAATAATGTAATTAAAATGGTTATCAAACAATGTTCTTCGTCTAAAATGCTTAGGGCTTTAATGAGTTTTGGAATTTTTAATGCATTTGGTTTAAATAATTAAATTGCTGATTTCAAGAATGTAACGAGATAAATTGTAAATGTCACTAATTTTACCCATAATTAAATGTAATGAAGTCTTGACTTAAGTGATTAAATTAAAAACTTTGGTAATTTATCTGCTGAAAATATGAACTTGTTGACAAGGAGGCTATTTGTTGTAGTTTATTTAGATTAGTTTCCTTTATCCTATAGCATCTCGGCGCTGTAAGACAAAGATTACCCATAATGCCTTTAAATAATGTTGCTGCAAGTTGTGTTCCCGAGCACCTATGAAGGCCGCGACGACACACGAGGGGGTGGGTGCCCAGCACCACGCCCGGCCGCCTTTGTCTCCCCAGTGGCGATATTAACACACCACACCAGGTACACATTTAAGGCTGAGTCGACCTAGGGGAGGCCCAGGACCGGTTCAGAAAATCGTCACCGGTGTTGGTCGTGAGCTGGAATCGAACCCGGGTCGCCGTGTTCGTAGCACAGCACGTATAGACACACGCGCGCTCACACACACACACGTACATACACAATCACACACAATTGAAATGTTCCTCCTTTAGCTTTGCAGACTGTTTGCAGAAGTGCGGTTTTGCGAACCCCTTCTCGGGCTGGTAAAGCCTGTTGAGCAGTGGGAGGGGCAGGGACACAACGCCTCGCTGCCCTCGTCTTCCCATTGGTCGTGTGTTCTTAACCACACCACAACAACGACCAGGTACTGATTTTAGGCGAAGCAGACTTAGGCTGAGCACGCTCGTTATGTGTTATGCCGCGGAGCATTATGGGCGAAAGCCAAACATAAGAACTCCCTTTTGTGTCTCCGCATATTGAGACAATTATGTTTTGAGTCTATGAGCCTATTTGGCCATCCGAAACAGACATCACCAAGCAGGCAAACTATGGAACGGCCGGCACATCCGGGATCAGAAGACTCTTGCCACTCGTGACGTGTGTTGCCACAGAGCGAACCTGGGTCTCTGGGATTACACCAGTGAAAATACCGTACGCATACACACACACGCGCAGATACACTCATGCTGTTCTTAAGTAGTAATTTGCCATTACGTACCCAGCAGGTTGGCAATGCAGTAGAGGGCCTGACCCCACAGGAAGAGGCGACCGTCTGATCCGGTGTTGCTGGGGAAGCGTTTCTGGCTGCCCGGCATTTTCTTCTCCGCCTCGATGAAGTCGTTGGGGACGTAGTAATACTTGGGAACGACGGCATGGCCTGCGACGCGGGGGAACGGGGGGGGGGTAAGACGTTACAGAAAATGCAGCGGCGGGCAACGCCACAGGAGGCGGTTATGAGGCCATCTCCTGTGGCTCTTCAACATTGTGTAGCCAACCAGGGGCGCAGTCACTGTGAGCGGGTGTCATGGGTGACCGGGAACCACCGGCAGTATTTTGGACATGGCTCAGACACCAGCAACGTTTTGGACAAATACCATGCCGAGTATGCTGCCGATCGAACTTCTAAAGTACACAGCGCACACACATCAGGTTCAGCGTTGGGTCGGTGGCCAGAAGTTGCGTAGATTGAATGCAATTGCAGTGCAGTGCAACTCACCCGTGATGACCGTGGGAGGGAGGGGGGAAGGGGGCAAACTGCACGGATCTTAACTGCAATCTGACCCAATAACCACTGTGAACAGTTCACTTTCGCAGGACACACTCCCCAGCGTGTAACGTGTGGACGAGCCCCTGTATCCAACGAGGGCACGGGGAGGTCGCTGTAGAGCAGTGGTTCTTAACCTGGGTTCGATCGAACCCCAGGGGTTCGGTGAGTCAGTCTCAGGGGTTCGGTGAGTCAGTCTCAGGGGTTCGGTGGAGGTTAAGACACACACCTGACTCATGATTGTGCACCAGTAAAAAACATATACCTATGTTTTGAATTTGAAAAAATATATTTTATTTTTCCAATTAAGAAGGGTTCTGTGAATGCGCATATGAAACTGGTGGGGTTCAGTACCTCCAAAAAGGTTAAGAACCACTGCTGTAGAGGGTTGGGAGAAGGAGACAAAGGCGGCGGTGGTTGCTGGACAAGATGGAAAAGAAGGAAGAGTGTAAAGAGGAGCCTACAAAGGCGCAACTAAAAAGCCCGTGGAAAAATTCTCAACGTGGTGAGGTGGGGAGGGGGGCTGCAAGAATGGTAGTCCAGAGTTATAATGGAAAGACTTGAAATTTGCAACTATGAGAGGGCATTTGTTTGGTCCGAGTTCACAGCATATGGTATTGCTGGATTCACTGGGCAATGCTTTTTAATGCGGATGGGTGACACGTTACAGCTGATGAATGGCATTACTCTTTGGACCAGGAATAGTATGGGCGTAGATTTGTAATGGATGACTCATCTTTGGTTGACATTCAGAGAGAAATCTCCAGAAAGCAATGTGCTACGTTTTAAACTGGAACTTTCTGATGTAAATCTGGGTAGCTTGTCTGCAGAAAACAAATGGACGATAACGATGATAGATGTGGACTATAAAACAGCAGTGGCATTTAATGTGTCAGTTAATACATTAAAGAAGAGTAAATATTAATGCGATAAAAAGCAACGTCGCGTGTGTGTGTGGCGCGCGCGCGCGCACGACGGCCTACTAAAAATAACCAGAATGTAAGTTTGCAGATTCGATGAGACAGGTTAACCGTTCACACAGACCGTCATGAGACAATTTACCATAATATTTTCACAACCTAATTATCTTTCTCGTCGTTAAATAACTAGCCCAGCAGAGGCCGTGCCACAAAGATACCATAACCAAATTTCTATTTAAGAAAAAAAATGTAAGAAATAAAAAATCAAGGGACCAAAGGTCTTTTTTTAAATCACATTTTCAGGAGGGAAAATGTCAAAGCTGCAACAACTATAATAATTTCCAAGTGGCTGCAGATGTTACAATTTAAATTCAAGAAATTTTAGCTTTATTCCTTCAGGCAATTTTCACAATTCCTTTCATTATGTCCTATTTATGTGGTTTCCTCTTTTACACTGCCTTTGATATTCATGTTATGCATAAATCAAAAGATGGGTCGATATTTTTAAGTGTTCTAAAAAAAAATTCTTTATTACGGAAAAATAGTGTGCCACTGCATATTAATAACGATCTAATTGCTATGTACGATATCATTTTAAATTGCTCGATTTTATTATATTGAGCCGTTCCCTAATACCGGGAACTAGCATTAATTGAATGGCTGTTGCACGTGGCTTACTTACGAGTTGTATACTGATGTAGAGTCGTACATCTAACAGCTGAACACCTTTACAGGGCATTCAAGGACATGCACAGCATGTTAGCGGCTTCCAATACCTAACACACCTCCATTTCAGACCAGGCAGTGGCACTGTATGGGCCCACACGGATTGATATTAAATGCATATGCCCATTAAGTAAGTTCATAGTTGCACATTTATTCATCAAGTAGAACAGCACCATGAGATAAACGTGTGTTTAGACGCAATAAAAAGTACGGACTGCGATATCAAAATTCTCATGGGAATTTTGTCTACGTTTATTATTTGGGTAACAAGAAAATGCTGAAAAATAAATGAGAACCAATCCGCAATGAGACCAATCCGTGAATGTAGAATGCTGTAAGAGAGCACAAGCTAAATTTCGATTTAAATATTTCGTGACTGCAGGGATTCATTTTCTTGGTTCTTTCGGTAAAGTCACGTAGAAGACGCTGTCTCCCCGACAGACCTGGTCTTCACCTGAGGACGGCTGCTTGCGTTGTGGCCAAAACGTCGTGAGAATTATTTTATTATGTTTTATTTGTATTATTTTATTACTTCCCCTCTACGTGACTTTACCGAAAGAACCAAGAAGAGAGCACAAGCTGTGGCTCACAACTGCTATGGGGGTGGTTTCCATTGCCAATTCAGAACAGCAACTACCCAGTCCATTAATAAAACAAGGTGGGGTTATTGGTTTAAGTGCCACGATAATATTACATTTCAGTCAATCGATTGTCAAGATTACTTGGGAGCAGCAAACACCCTACTTCCCCGAGTTTAAAGTTCTTACAAGCAACTAAAACAGTTTGCCAGAGCGTTTCCCTCGTGTGAGTAAAGAGGCCTTTCTCCGTGACTTCAGTCGTCCAGTAACATGACGTTCTAGGGTTGTTGTCCAGGAACACGTTGTTTCTCACGATACGAGAGTAAGCAATTAAGAGAAGAAAATAAACAAATGAATTAAAGGGGTTTGAGGGTGATAAGTTCGAGAAGCCCTTCTGTGAGAATTACTTAAGATACAGCGTTTCTATCTAGATACTAAGTGGCTACATTGCACACAGATGGCACGCTTAAATTATTTAGCGCATGCTATTGCATGTGACTTCCCACAGTCAAAACACCAGATACATTTACAATATATAGAGAGATAATAAAATAAATGTTCCAATTTGTGTCAGCCTACATAGCCACATAGCCACTCTGCAGCCTCCTCATCCAGCATGTGCAGGGCTACCGGTCAGCACGGCACGCCCCGACGCACTTTACAAGCGGAAGACGATGTGTACCCCATGGTCTCCCGCTCATTCACAGTGTTGGACTGTCACGTTGGCCCCGCGTTGAATGCATGCACATGTGTGGTTGGCAAACGTGCGTTGTCTAATGATGCTTAGTAATAGCGACCGTTTGTCTAGGATGGTCTCGGCACTCTTCTATAGGAGGCACCTACAACGGGAAGATTGGCCATTAGAATTATTGAGGGTTTGGTAACCTGAGCACCCAGCAAACAGCCACGCATGAGAGGGGAGCACAATCAACACCAAGCTAAGATATTTGTATTTTACCAGGTAAGTCCCACTGTGCTTTTTCAGAAGCGACCTGACCACGTGGAAATGTATAGCAGCCAAATACTCTAAACGTACGTTGATTCGAAATGTGGAGGGGGAAAAACCGGAGGGCCCGGAGAAAAATATCCACGCGACCACAGAGAGAGAAAATGCAAACTCCAAATATACGGCAGGCATCAGGCTCGGGGTTGAACCCACGACCTCCTGTATAACAGGCGAGGTAGTTGACATCTCACTCCCGTGGCACCCTATCATGACCCAGCCACTCGCAGGCCAAGGCTGTAACATCCATAACCAAACCAGTCTCAGACCTACTTAGCTGCCAAGATCCAATGAGATTAGGTGCATTTCAAGTTATTTTGTCATAGTTGTGGAAACTTCAATGTGTAAAAAATAAATCTCGAAAGCGGTTTGGTGCTAAATGACACAGAATGGTGATTTTGAATTGATCTGTGCCATCAAGTGATGTACTTCCACAGCATCAAGCAGTGCGAAATAACTCTCACATGTACCAGACTTGCAGATTTCCACGTACCAGACTCGCAGATTTCCATGGCTATGACCTTCACATTAAATTAAACGTTGCACCAGTTTCAACAATTCACTTGTTCGAAATTATTGTAATTCCATGAGTAATGCATCTGATTTGACTAATGTGTTCCCAAGTGTCCTTAATCTCACGTTAACAACTCGGTGGTGACAACCGAGCTTTATTACAATTGTGATATAACTCAGCCCCATTACAGATTTTTTTTCATACAGAAAAAATGTGTGTAAAAACATTTTACATTTTTAAACGAGCATCTATCTAAGCCTGCTCACGAATACCAACCAACAGGGCATACTTCTAAAAGAAATACCAGCATGCGTGTTTTATTACACAACAAAATAATACTTGATCTAGAACGCGCATGCACATTACTCAAAACTAGCACCACGCAGCGCAGACTTGACCCGCCTCATTTGAATCCAAGCCGCTCGTAAATTCAAATGACAGGAGAGGGGCAAATAAGACTGTGAGTGGAAACAACGAGCACAAACAGCTTAAATATACGCTCCAAGCGTGGTGGTGTTTCATTCAGACGCTATCTCCCCGACAGATCTGGTCACCTGAGGACGGCTGCTTGCGTTGTGGCCGAAACGTCGTGAGAATAATTTTATGTTTAATTTTTATTATTTTATTGTTTCCCTTCTACGTGACTTTACCGAAAGAACCAAGAAGATGGCACAAACAGCTTGCGAAGACCCGGGCACATACGTAGAGCGGAGGAGGCGTACTGTGATAACGGCTGGCAAGAGGTCAGAGGGCAGGGGACCAGGTGAGGGGTGAAGAGCGGTGGGGGAGTAGAGGGGTGGGAGGGTGCAGGGTTGGGGGAAGCGGCGTTGATGGCAAAAGCCATATCGATGGCAGGCAGTCAGTTGGTTCAG